CTCAAACTCCAAACGTACATTCTCTGTACACAGTAGAATCATACCTCTCCATAGGGAGAACCACGTACATGTTTTGACACAGGATGTAATAACACAAATCATCAACCGTTTCTTGAAGTGGCACATTTGTGAATAGAGAGTTCACATCAATAGAGTAGATTACTTCCGAACCCAGTAAGAAGTGTTCTAGCGTCTCCGCTAGTTCAAATGAATCTTTCAGGCAGTGCGTATTCAGCAGTTTATGCATGGGATCTATGCGTTTCGCTAGCCACTGGACAACGTTGTGATAAGGCGAGTTGTTCATGTACACAATCGGACGCAGTGGGTTACCTGACTTGTGTAACTTAGGCGCGCCCCTCATTCTCGGTGTCTGCGTCCCAGTCGGTTTCAGCTGCCTGTATTGCGACTCAGTGATGTATGCGTGTAGCAAAAGGATCTGGAATTTTCTGTCCACCTGCTTCTCCACCAAGATGCTGTTTTCCGGTGTCGCGTCTATCAGGAAATTACGCCTGTTCGCCAAAATAGACACCATTTTTGGAACGTAGTCATCTTTATTCATTATTATCATGCGTGATCCTTTATCTGGCTGCGGGAACATTACGTGTGCCATTACTTTTAATTCTCTGATCGCGGCATAGTGTTCAGCATTCAAGCAACATCTCTGGTTTACTGGCGTATTAAGGAATTGGTTCGCGATATCCACCAATTTTGCCCGAAAACAGCCCGCATCTTCTATGGATGTTGGCTAGAGATCACTGAGCTGGCCATACAGATATTCAAACTTGTGTATTGCAATAATGAACAAGGATGACTACGTTTCAAAAGTGGTGTCTATTTTGGGGGAAAGACGTAATTGCCTGATAGACGCGACACCGGAAAACAGCATCTTAGTGGAGAAGCAGGTGGACAGAAATCTTCAGATCCTTTTGATACACGCATACATCACTGAGTCGCAATACAGGCAGCTGAAACCGACTGGGACGCAGACACCGAGAATGAGGGGCGCGCCTAAGTTACACAAGTCAGGTAACCCACTGCGTCCGATTATGCACAGGAAACAAGCGTGGTTAAGCTACTCAATTTGTTTCAGGCGGGACCATGCACATTCATTCCAACACATTCACTGATGAGGCAATATTCTATTAGCAGGGAACTAAGAAGCTGCATTTCCAGGCAATATCTAGTCCAGGATGATACTGTGAATCACGTATGGTATAAAGTGCGAAGCGCATTGACTTGAAAAATTGCATGACAAATCGTGGGACCGCAGCACACCCATGTGGATTCTTAAGCATACTGTGCACCACAAGCCCGTTATCCCTGTGGTAAGTTTTCTGACACATTATTCTACAAACGCACCTTTGGCTCAAATCTGTTGACCGGGCAGGCCAATCCTTTGGGCGGTTGCGACCGATTCACCAGTGACCGAACACCTCCTTAAGATAATGCCGCACCGTCTGTGCATAATTTGTAGGTGCCTTATATTGAATCTATAAAGGCTGAAAGAAAGTGTCAAAGTAGCCAACGATAATCGGTGATGAAAACATCTCCATCTTGTAGCTTCTACGTAATTTGTCAGAGACAGTTCCCTTACCACCGGAGAATCATGATAGTAAGAGGAATGGCGGTACTGATAATTAAGTTACTTGACAAACACGAAGTTGGCTTCATATGGGCAACGGAAGTACGTGACTCTGGCTTGCAAGAAGCGCATAACGAGGCCTACTGAGCTTCAACGGTTTTGTCCACTGCCGTCAACCTTACAGTAATCATCAACAGCTATGTCTGCACGTTGTCGGACAATTCAGCGATCGCGCGTTTCTCATGTACCCCGCTTGTTATATTTTCTTGTAGCGTGCATTCTACCCCGACGAATACTTGGCACACTTCTCCTTCGCAACAATGTGGTAGCGAAATCAATGGCTATGAATTATACATATATTTACATGAAGTATGTTTCAAGAGCATAAAAATCATCGAAACCCATGTTCAAAATGACCACCGTCGTTTTGCTTGCAGAGCAGTACTCACCGGATGCTAATTAGCTAACATTTTCTGCAAAATGTTCACCGATATACCGCGACATTCGTTGACGATGCAGAGTTTCAGTTCCTTCGGCCAGCAGCTGTGGAATGACCGTGGACTGCATCGTTTCTTTGTACGAGGATGCAAACAAATGTGAAGCATTAATACTGTAACAGAAATCAACTTACCCGGCACATGCTTGGAAAAGAAAAATGGCCAGATAATTTTTCGCCTTGGCATATCAGCCCATACCATGAGCTGTGCACGATGTTGCACAAGCGAATCTATGCATTGTCCATTGCCCATTCTGCACAAACGGTGCGGCATTATCTTAAGGAGGTGTTCGGTCACTGGTGAATCGGTCGCAACCGCCCAAAGGATTGGCCTGCCCGGTCAACAGATTTGAGCCAATGGTGCGTTTGTAGAATAATGTGTCAGAAAACTTATCACAGGGATAACGGGCTTGTGGTGCACAGTATGCTTAAGAATCCACATGGGTGTGCTGCGGTCCCACGATTTGTCATGCAATTTTTCAAGTCAATGCGCTTCGCACTTTATACCATACGTGATTCACAGTATCATCCTGGACTAGATATTGCCTGGAAATGCAGCTTCATAGTTCCCTGCTAATAGAATATTGCCTCATCAGTGAATGTGTTGGAATGAATGCGCATGGTCCCGCCTGAAACAAATTGGGCAGCTTAACCACACTTGTTTCCTGCAACGGCGATCAATACTGCGATGAAAGAATAAGTTATGCGGCAGAGAGTAGTCCATAGGCGGCATGGATTTCAAAACTCCTTTCTCAAAAGGTCCCATTTCATATTTGTAAGGTCCAATCGTAAAGAATGTTTATTTTACTAAGGTAACACAGTCTACGAAAGTGTTGCCAATAACCCTGTTGTCACTAGCTTCGACAACACTACGCTCCTATTGCACATGCCTTGCCCAGGCCTGTTACGCCTGTCCAAACGCTACCCCAATCCTGTCGCAGTAGCCGGGTTATGAGGCAGTGCTGTTTCCATTTTGCACACTCTCCATTTCAACTAGCCCGACACACCGTATGTATCGATCGGTGAACTTGCCTTGCGACGTGCCGTAGGTTGACTCCAACTCAACCATCCGCGCATGGTTCGGCGTTTGCAGGATGGACGACACAGCAAGTACACATGTACCCACTTGCATGTATACGGTCGTTCTACACCCATGTGCGGGTTCAACATTTTGAGATAGACTAACATCTACTATTGGACAGTTGGCAACTTAGTACGCTCTACCTCACACCCGAAGGAATGACCCTTTGTCAAGCGCTAAGAGAGTAGAGTGACCAGACTATTGGGACAGGCTCTACATATCTTTCTACTCCGTATCACAGCGCACCGCACTTTGCGGTTTGTGTTGCAGTTACAACCACTTGAAAGTATTGAGGGTGAACGTCCTTATGCGAGAAAGTTGGTTCATACTCAGAGTGAGTTTCACAAAAATTGAAGTAAGTTATAATGAAGCAAAAAATATATACCTGCTTATTGTGCATCTGTCTTGTTATTATTCCAGAATGTATGACCTGAGATGGAGATTTTCGAGTTAGTAGCGATTTTAGATTATGTGGAATTTCCGTCACATTTGACACAAATGGCAACAAATAAAAAATATCGCGTTTGTATTGCTAAACTTCATAATAGAAAATTGGCTGCTGATTTCACCTCTTTCAAATATTCTGCTCTTTATTTCTAAATGGTAGAAATTGACTAATCAACTTCCCATGGTAAACGACCTGTCAGATTTCAGAGTAGGAATAACCTTCTTACCAGGGTTTCATCAGTTGAAAGTGAGGACAGCAGTCTCAGTGACAGCGGTGATAGCGAAAGAGACTACATTCCTGCACCGTTACCACGGCTTGATGATAGAAACAGCAGCAATGTTAGCACAGATGATGACAGCGGAAGAGAAGAACTGCGTAACAACAATCACCATACTGCACATGCTAGCACCAGTCACACTCCTGCCCCAAGGCTATCAGCTGCTATTCCAGCAACCAAAACACTAGCCGTAAGCAAGCGATCAATACATACTGCAAAGAAGAGACAGCCAACTGAAAAACAGCACAACAATATGATTCGAAAAATGCCATTGCAGTTTGGCATTCTGCTCTGCTTGCTTCTGAAGAAATCAGAAAACCCATTCATTATTTCAGTGAGCTTTTCGACACAGATCTGCTTGACATCGTGTAAAAGAAAGTATTCTTTGCTGCACACAGATGAACCCGAACACTGCCCTCCAGTTAGATGGAAATGAATTGGAACAGTTTATTGGTGTTTTAATGTTTGTGAGCGTATTACATTTGCCTCATTCCCGAATCTACTAGTCGGGTAACAGTCGAATAGCACAGGCGTCGGAGCTAATGCTCCGAGGTAGATGGGAAGAAAGTAAAAGAGTTTTCCACTTCAAGGATTATACTAAGATGGAAGCTATCAGTGAAGATAGACTTTTCAAAATCAGAACAATCATTTATGCTCCGTTACCAAAATTACAGAGTCTCCCTCAAAACCAACCGTCTTCCATTGATGAGCGAACGGTCCCATTCAAAGGGAGATCTAGCCTGAAGGAATCCATGCCCAAGAAGCATTCAAAAGGGGTATACAAGATCTTTTTGTTTTGCAATGCAAAAGGGCTTGTGCATTCGCTTGGGAAATTCACAGGGAAATTACTCCTTGCTGGATAAACAGATATCGGTGCAAGTGGAAACCTTGTTCTGTAACTTGCAAAGATCATCCATGCCAATCTCAACACTTCTATATTCTAACACCTGATTTTTATTAGGGGAATAGCTATTAGGCATTCATTTCTTGTGAACAAGCTTAGTAGCCATTCTTTATTCTTCCTATTTTCTACTTCTTGACTGTTGTTTAAACGCTCTACTGGGTTAGCCCGATTGGTCCACACACGTCCTTGTTAATGGACGCTCATCGTGTAGAGAAGAATCGAAACTGTTTTGGCGCGCGTCCAAAGTTGAATCGTTGCAATAACGGCACTCTCTCCCGTTTGCCTTTCAGAGCGCCTTTCCTGCTCAATTACCGGAGGAGAACAAGAACACAACGACATTGGTTAACTGTAACTTCCTTTGTTCCAATTTACCTCATGTTTATTACCTTTTGTAGAGGCTACGTGTTGTGTAATAGAACTTCGTTCTCAACCCTTGGAGTTCTTCCGTGCTTGCGTGTTACAAAGTGGCGACCCTGCCAAGTCACAAGAATCAGGAATCCACCATCATTAGTCTAATGAAGATCATGCCGAAAACGAACGAAAAGTCTGATGACGAAAGCCATTCTGATGTCGTTGACCCCACGACCAGACTTTCCACTTCACTGGATGTTTTGTCCCGTACTTTGGAGAAATTATCAACAGGCTCGAATTCGTCAGTCTGCATGCATGCAATCCCTCCTCCAGAACGCTACACTCCCGGGATGACGTACTCCAGATGGGAGAAGCAAGTCCAGCTTTACCTCCGTCATTTTCCAGTCAACCAACATTCAGGCGTGCTCGCCGGCCTGCTGTCAGGGGATGCTTTTGATATCGTTGCTGATAGCAAAATTCTGGAAAAAGAAGTCACGACCGAGACGTTCTCTGCCTTGCGCCGCCTACTGGACCCTCCTGCTTTACCTGCACCCCTACGCAGAGAATTCCACTCCCGATACCAGTGGCCCGGAGAGAGCATTGGGACGTACGTGCGCGAACTTCGAAAGATGGCCGACATCGCATACGAGCGAGAGTCATCAAGCGAGCGTGACAAACGAATACTAGAGCAACTTCTAGAAGGAATCCAAACACCCTCCATTAAACGTGAATTCCTTCTTCACCCCCCGAGCAGTTGGATGCAGCCTTACGAATTGGCGAACAACTGGAGCAAGTCGACAGAGCGATGGCTACGCCGACTTCCGGGTGCTTCGCGTTGAGGGGAACCGGACGCCCCAGACGTGCGTCAACGGAACGGTTTACGTGGCATCCTGACTATCATCAAAGATATTCAGGCTCACGGCGACCAACGCAACCGGGTTCTCGGTGGCCCCGCCGACAAATACCGAACCGCGGACTATCTCGCTACAATAACGGACGCCCAGGTGAGTGGCACCGATTGCATTCACACTTTATACCAGCCATTGTTTGTGCATCGACCACAGAATCAGCATTAGCAATAGAATTACAGATCGCAGGTGTTCCGTTAATAGGTCTCATCGACACAGGTGCATGTAAGAGCCTAATCAGATCTAACTTGACTAACCAGCTAGCAGAACGCGTATGCGCGCCTTGTCGCTGCCGACTAACTGCCGCCAATGGAGAATTGTTGTCCGTTCGAGGATCCCTAACCGCACAAGTTGACGTCGCGAAACAGAGCTTCACCCAGGAGTTTATTGTTGCGGACAAAATTCCGTTTGCTGTTATTGTTGGGATGGATCTGTTGCGCCGGTTGAAGTGTCGATTGGATCTGGACAGGTGCCAACTAATCACTGATAACTGTACAGTATTGTTAAGACCCTGTGAAAGTGGTGCTTTGGAAGCTTCTACAACCTATGAGGACACCTTAGACAGTGAGAAATACATTAACGCCTTTATTCGCTCACTCGACCGAGTCACGGATGAGCAGACACTGAAGCGGCTCAAAGACGTGTTGCGCAACCACTCAGACGCATTTGCATGGCGAAGTACCGACTTGGGTCGAACCAATCTCGTGAAACACCGTATCGACACCGGTGATGCAATCCCGATTAAAATTCCCGCAAGACGCATACCATTACATTGGCAGACTGAATTGCAAAAGCTCATAGATGAGATGCTAGAAAAGAAGGTAATACGGCCCTCTACTTCACCATGGGCAGCCCCGGTTGTTCTAGTGAAGAAGAAGGATGGTGGTTTTCGCCTATGTGTCGACTATAGACGATTAAATGAGATTACTCGGAAAGACGCTTTTCCCCTACCCAGGATCGATGATCTATTTGACGCACTGGGAGGATCAGTTTATTTCAGTACGCTAGATTTGGCTTCCGGCTACTGGCAAGTAGAAGTGGAGGAAAGCGACAGAGCAAAAACGGCGTTTGTAGTACCATCAGGTTTTTATGAGTTCCAGACCATGCCTTTTGGCCTCTCTAACGCCCCTGCGACTTTTCAACGCCTGATGCAAAAAGTGTTACACGAATTGATGCCCCACAAGTGTCTCGTTTACCTGGACGATGTCATTGTACACGGAAAAACAAAAGATGAGCACCTAAACAACTTGGCGGAGGTGCTAACGCGCCTAGTAAATGTGGGCCTCAAACTCCATCCAACAAAGTGCCATTTACTACAGACAGAGGTAACGTATCTTGGGCACATCATTTCGGGGATGGGGATTCGAACTGACCCTCGTAAGACGGAGAAAGTGAGATTATGGCCAACCCCTGCCAACGTTGATGAACTACGCAGTTTTTTAGGGTTAGCCTCATACTATCGGCGATTCGTGAAAGGGTTCTCAGAGATCGCTGCGCCTTTGAATACTTTGTTACAGAAAGGTCAAACCTTCGAATGGACCGTCGAGTGTCGAAATTCCTTCGATCGGTTACGAGAATCCCTCTGTGCAGCTCCGGTGTTGGTTTTCCCCGACCTGTCACCAAATGCCGGGGAGTTTATTCTAGACACGGACGCGAGCGACCAGGCGATTGGAGCTGTTTTGTCGCAGAAAGGGCAGGACGGAATAGAACGAGTGGTGTCTTACAGCAGTAGGAGTCTCAGTGCAAGAGAACGGAACTACTGCACAACCAGGAAGGAAATGCTAGCCCTAGTATTCTTTATAAAACAAAACCGACACTACCTATTAGGAAGGAAGTTTCTGGTACGAACAGATCATCAGTCACTTCGCTGGTTACAGAATTTCAGAGACCCCGAGGGACAGATCGCCAGATGGCAGGAACAACTTCAGGAGTATGATTTTGAGTGCCGACACCGACCTGGTGCACAGCATGCCAACGCGGACGCTCTCTCCAGACTTCCTACTCGTGCTCATGGAGACTGCCCGTCTTGTAGTACACAACACGTAGCTCTAGTTAACCTTCAAAGTTCGGAGTACGGTCGTTGGCAGGAGGCACAGGCAGCGGACCCAGACGTATCACCGATCTATGACAAACGACGATTGGGGAGCGACAAACCTACCGCAAAGGAAATGGAAGGAAAAAGTTACGAAGCTCGATGCTTATGGGCGATGTGGGACAAGCTCTCCATCGAGGAAGGTGTGCTAGTGTTTGATTTTGGCCCAAACTATATCAGGAGAATCGTAGTTCCGCGATCATTAGTTTCCGAAGTGTTATCTGAACTGCACGAACAGCTGGGTCATGCTGGAATCAACAAACTTGAAGCGGCAGCACGTCAACGGTTTTGGTGGCCACATCAACGGAGAGACGTCACTAACTTTTGCCAGACGTGTGAGACATGCGCCACATTCAAGAACCCGACCATCACCCGGAGAGCACCATTGCAGCCTATGAATGCAGGCTACCCGAACGAGATTGTGGGAGTAGATCTTGTTGGTCCCCTACCAGAAACATCACGTGGGCATCGGTACATCTTGGTCATGGTCGACTATTTCACTAAGTGGTGCGAAGCAGTTCCGATCGCCCAAGCCGATACAGTCACCGTAACAACGGCGATGGTGAATCACTGGTGTGTCACTGGGGAGCACCGGGGCAGCTACACTCTGATAGGGGCTCATGTTTCGAGAGTTTGTTGGTGCAGGAACTTTGTCGTGTGTTCGGTATAGACAAGACGCGAACGACGGCTTACCACCCGCAAGGCAACGGACAAGTTGAGCGTACAAATCGGTCGCTGAAATCGCTACTGAAGGCCTTTGTGGATCAAAATGTAAGTGAGTGGGACGCTATGTTACCAAAATGCTTGCTGGCATATCGGAGCACAGTGCACGCTTCTACTGGTCAAACACCATTTTTTATGTGGACCGGAAGAGAAGTCCGATTACCGTCTGACATTCGACTACCCAGTCCGCAACAGCCACATTCATCGGTGACAGAGTATGTTAGCAAACTCCTTGATTCGCTTCATCAAACACATCAAGCGGCACGTCTTCATCTTGGGAACGCCCATCGACGACAGAAAGACTATTACGACAAGAAAGTTTTCGGCGCTCCTTTGAAGGCTGGCGACCAAGTTTACTTGCACCAGGTACCAACGGCAGGAGTTCCGGTTAAGCTACACCATGAGTGGACAGGGCCGTACATAATACAGCGGGTGATATCGGATGTGACATGTGTTATCAAAGATCCCAACAACCCTGCCAGTCAACCCATGATAGTACATTTCAATCGACTCAAGCCATTCCGGAGTAAAACTGACCAATCTGTCGGGGGGCCGAACGAAACGCCTGGGGAAGTAGCAGTTGAACTGGAGGTGCCGGCTCAAGGCGGCTATGGTGTGGCAACGGGGACGCTGCCTGATTAGAGGGGGTGTGGTGTAGAGAAGAATCGAAACTGTTTTGGCGCGCGTCCAAAGTTGAATCGTTGCAATAACGGCACTCTCTCCCGTTTGCCTTTCAGAGCGCCTTTCCTGCTCAATTACCGGAGGAGAACAAGAACACAACGACATTGGTTAACTGTAACTTCCTTTGTTCCAATTTACCTCATGTTTATTACCTTTTGTAGAGGCTACGTGTTGTGTAATAGAACTTCGTTCTCAACCCTTGGAGTTCTTCCGTGCTTGCGTGTTACAATCATCGTGTCCTTTTCAGCAGTATCATTTGCAAGAACACATTCCATTGGTTTTTTTCCTCATCACTGTTCTACTTGGTTATGTTAAATGAATATTTAGTTGTCACAAGATTATTGTACTAGTTTTTAATTTTTGGGTCTGCATTTCTTATTCTCGTTTGTTTCGTGACATTGGTTTAAACGCTACATTTCGTTATTCTGATTGGCCAGTGCCCGTCACTGTAAATAGATGTTCACTTTACGCTTGGCGTCCCATGATGCTATTTTTAAGAACATATGTGATTCGCTCTTGAGTACACGCTTGCTTATTCGCCCGTTGCATTTGACGTTTTTGCTTCTGTTGGTTGGCTCAAGTGTAATTTAGTAGCGTCCCTTCATTTTTCCTTCAAACTATATAAGCAACTGTGATTTCATGTATACAAGTCTTTTTATGGCTCGTCTTTGAACTTCTTCTTGCGGTCGTGGGGCGAAGGCGTCAGTGGCGACACAAGAGTTTTCGTCATTGCATTTATTCGTTTCTCTCGCTAACAAGATCTTACCAGCCTTTGGGGCAATACAGCAAAATCGGTTACAAGGTTGCAGTTTCCTCAAAAGCATTGCGATGAAAAAAAGGGCGGATTGACATTTGAATAAAAGACAGTACTGCTTGACCGTGTGGGGGTAACGTTGTCAAATGGTTTGACAACAGAGTAGTGCTCGTTGCCAGTATTTTTGACAGTGCTCAACGAGTTTGTAAGGTCCAAAGATGGCATAGAACGTCAAAAGTATAAGTATCTGTGGAGTGTCCAAGCATCATGACACTCTATAATAATTTCGTTAGCCCCGTTCGTGCCCTGGATGCACTGGTTGCATATTATCGGATCTATATCAGGTCCAGAAAATATTATCAGTTTTTTTCCATTTTATCCAAATGTTAGTAGTCAAAAGCTGGTTACTCCACCGAGGTGATTCGACTCACTGGATGTACCTCAACAGTAGCAGAAAGACTTGCTTACTTTCCAATTATCTGTTGCTGAGTCACTCCTCATGCAAGACAAACACATGTCGAAGAGGAAGCGGGTGCGAAAGGGGAGTTCAAAACGAAGCAACGCCGTGGTCCAGCTAATGAAATTCCATCACTGAAAGTCCGGTCAGACTCTGTGAGCCACTGGCCAGTGGTTGTTAGTACACGGCAGCGATGCAAACTCCCAACTTGTGAAGGCCAGACAGAGATCAGGTGCACAAAGTGAAGGAAGAAAACCTGCTTCAGAGAATTTTACGAGTAACACTATTTCCTTATTTGGCTGCTCCTGGTGGTTACGGTATTTTTGCTGCAATTTTGATTGTGTACAGGAAGAGTTGACCAACTGCTGCTTCCATTAACTAGTTATATTGCTACGATTGTAAATGTGTTGAGTTACCATCACCATGGCGGATCACACTGAGGTTGCCGAAGCGGAAGAGGTTATCGCCATCGCACGGCCTAGTGCGCAGTTGATGACCAATCAGGCGGCAGGTAAAGCAAAACGATTGGCCGTGCTCCACATGCCACGCAGCCGGCGAATGGGTCGGACGTTTTGGCTTTTCGGATCACTAGTTCATTGGTCGCATGTTTGATCCGACCATTTGACGACTTGTTCAGAATGTGACGTTCTTGTATAATACCTAAATATATCATTAAATAGATTCTACAATTAAATTACCCATCTGTATGAAATTCAGCATCCGCGCTTTAGTAAAATGACTAAAGAAAATTTTTTCGAACATCGAGAAGGGGTTAAAGCATTTCCTGAAGGATGTATGGATGAAGCCGAATTCCTAAAGTAGGTATTTGAAATGGATGTAATTAACTGTGAACAGTTATAGTAGCAGAACCCGAGTGACAAAATGGCGACGCGGAATTAAAATCGGGTGCTCGTCTCGTACAGCATTCAGAATTGATTCCGTCTTCCGCCCACTCGGATTATACCCTTACCAATGAAAGGCATGAGTCATCACCATTAGTGTTACTTCGGTTTCATCTTTCATACTCTTATCTTAGGTTCGTCGTGTGAATGGAGACATACGTTTTCTATGAAGAATTCCGCTTGTACCAGTCGAACAATCCTTGAATAGTTTCATCGCTCTCTATCGCACCTGGTTGACATAGCGCAAGGTTCTTCAGAAACTTTGTTACGAAATACCACTTAAAACGCAGCAGGGTAACGACCGGTTTACGTTGCGAGGTCCAAGAAGGGCAACCGTTGAATTTCTTCCTCCAACATTCTTCCAATTTTGCCAAGAAGCCAATTCTCCGGAGGAATGGCCCGCGAGCATTCAGCTTAAAGTACAAATTGCAGACCGTGCAATCAAGTGTTTAGCTCTCTCTGTTGTGACGTAACAAGTCTCCGTGAAGTTATATCAGCCGGGTTTTGCTACGAGTTTATGTAACGCCATTGACTCGGATGAGAATGCGGTTGTATACAAATAATTCGCTTAGCAACGTAAGTCGGGAACCGCTCGTTAACGCAATGTAGCAGCTTGAGAATTATCATCGAATCTGTCCAGAATATACTTCTGCACTGGGGGCTCATTTTCTCGGTGACCGCCACCATTCACAAGAGAAGTGCGGCAGCGATAACCTCTAATCTTCATATAGACATCGTTCGAAAAGAACTAATACTTGACTTGCCACCAATCAGAGAGGTATTAACACTGTCTTCGACATTTTCACCTCGCAAATACAAAGCAGCAACATAACCGGTCTCACATGCATCGGGAAAACTGCGATTGTACGGTAGCGGTACTACATGTAAAAGGAATAACGTGTCGTACAAAGGAAGCGTTGTTGACTCCATACGTGCTTGAAAACAATTAGCTCCAAATCCGTTGATATTCTATGGAACGGGGCTCAACGCAATCCAACTTCTGTCGTAAGAAATTTTGTAATAGAAACTTTGCTGGTAACTGTGGTGGTGCGATGAGGACAAGATGAACATAGACGGAAGCGAAAAATGAGTGTATGGCCCTACGAGTTAACATGTCATCAAAAGTTTCCAGCTTGAAGTTTAAACGTTCCTAGGTGACGTTCCAGTGTATACCAAGAGCACTTACAACGCAGTTATCGTCAGTCAGATATCGTATTCTGGGAAACTTCAGTTCCTTCTCGGGCAAATACACGAAACCTCACTTCGATTATAAAGCCACTTTGTTGAACGAAATGTTCCATTGGCAGGTAAGATGCTTAACGCATTCAGTCGCTTCGTGAATAGAATCAACACTGAAGGGGTAATCGTCCGAATAGAAACAACTTACACGATCGTAATAATCTCTGTTTTGAATCCACCTGCATAATCGGTAATGGTTTGACATGGATCAAAATTACACAACTAGCTGACGAAGTGGCTTCAAACGGATGTACTGCCATGCGATATTCAGTAGCAGGTAAGCAGAGGTTACCATTCTTTCACAATAGAAACCTCAAGCAATGCTTGTCGTGACTGGGAAACTTGACTTAGTGGAAGATTGCTTCACTGTCGGATGCGATCGCGCTTGAGCGGGATCTAAACTACAAGCGAGAACCAGATAAACTGTTTGAAATAACGTGGCGCCACAAAACCTGTTGATTGAGAGCAGTCCTTTGGTAAGAAACTTGGCAATCGAAAAGTACTCATGATTTACCCGGTTTAAGCACATAAGATACCGATTGATGTAGTAGGTATCAGGTTTCTGGTTTAATCCGTTCCTCTTGCCGTTCAGTCAGTTCGGCGTATCTTTTAGCTACATACCCTTTCATGGCCTTTGTGGATGCCTCGCTTAGTGTGGCATCCTTTAACAGCCGCTTCGTTAACAGCGCAAGCTATCTATTATCTCGTAACCGTGGTCTCTCAGCTTACCATGGTAACGCCATCTCATAATGATCGCCGACTCTTGTTACGGAAGTCTCCATGAGTTTGAGCACACACCTGTCGTCCACGGACATGGCCAATCGGGGACTGTCAAAGCCATCGAAGTCCGTCCCATACATTTGTTCGGATAAATGATGTAGATCGGTGGTATCGCATCAAACCGAATTTATCTTCTTTGTGCAGTTCACTATAACTGACGTAGACTTATCTTCCTTGAACTCGGGCAGTTGCTCGGACCCAACACTATCCAGCCCATTAGGGTTCTAACAGCATACGGATCACTAGCGCTCCCGCGCTTCTGATCCAAATTCCAGTGTACATGTGTGTTATCACTTCCACTCAGCACCTCTATCTCCCCATTCGGTCCTGGAGACCGTAAGTGTGACCATCTGTAGAAATTATTTCTTCGTGTGCCCGTTCCAAATGTTTCAAAGACACGACTGGCTAGCCTGACAGAGTCTAACCAGACAGCCTCACCATCATCTCTCGATTGAACAGTTACACTAACCGACTGCGACTTTACCTCGCATCGATCAGGGACAGTACTTTGGTTCAGTGGCTTCACGGACTCTACACTCCGATATTCTGAGGCAAATGGAAATCGATCAATGAAGTGTCTGACCCGTTATCTACCAAGGCTAGCATCCGAACGGTGCCAGCAGGACCAGAGGCTAGAACGGGCAATACACTAAGATAAACAGCAGGCTTTTCGACCTGACGTAGTGCGAAACGAAATCTTTCGGTATTCAGTGTCCCGGGGTAGCACAACCATCACTAACCTAAACATCGAGGTTGGCTCTTTTCTGCATTCCTCTGTACAAATACACCAAATGTATTTGTTGTATATGCTTCTTTCTTTACCTCCACTCTATGCCACTGAGGACTGCGCTGCTGCTGCTGGCTGCCCCTTGAAACTGCGACTGTCTGACTGCTCAGTCACGCGCCCAGCCCACCAACGGAATACAGAAGACCAAGGTTCGGTAGACAGAGAGGCTTACTGTATGAGAGCACGGTCCAATAAATAGGTTATGAGCAACTACTTAAACAACAATATTAGAGATGCTAATTGCCGTTAATTAACACAACTCAAATGGTTCAGGTTCGTGATCCAACTTGCCTCTGATTCCGCATCAAT